AGGCATTAACATCAATCAATGCAAGTATACACTTGACCTTCTCTCCAACACAGGTTTGCTTGGCTGGAAATCAGCCTCCACACCAATGGCTCGTGACACCAGATTAAAGACTACTGATGGTACTCCAATGCTGGATCCTACTAAATATCACTGACTTGTTGGGAAACTTATCTACTTATTGAATACAAGGCCTGATATCTCATACTCTGTGTAACAGTTGAGCTAACATATGAGCCAACTAACAACTGTTCATTATAACGCTACTTTTCGTGTGCTCCGGTATCTCAAATCATCTCCAGCTCAAGGTCTCTTCTTCCCCAGCAATTCCATCTTACAACTCAAGGCTTTTTCTGATTCGGACTGGGCCACCTTCCTTGAGACACACAAATATATTACCGGTTTATGCATTTACCTGGGTGATTCATTGATATCTTGGAAATCCAAGAAACAAGCTACTGTCTCTTGCAGTTCCACTGAAGTCGAGTACCGATCCACGACCTCTACAATTTGTGAATTACAATGGCTAATCAATGTCATCACTGAGCTTAAGATACCTTTCAAACGTTCTGCATTATTATACTATGATAATGCCTCAGCCATCCACATTGCCAACAATTGTTCATTCCACGAACGAACTAAACACATCGACCTCGATTGACATATTGTTTGCGAAAAACTTCAGCAACGCCTATTCCACTTTCTTCCTGTCACATCTCTAACAATTAGCGGATATTTTTACTAAGCCTTTAAATGTTTCTATTTTTCTGTCAAATATTAGTAAGCTTGGTCTACATTCCATATATTCTCAAACTTATGGGGGTATTAGAGGTATAGTTTTATTGGGCTTTCCTTTTGTCTTGTTAGACCTTATTGTTTATGGTTAATGGGCATTTTGTATATAACTCTGGTTTATCCACTTTTCTAAGGCAAGATGGGAAAATCACTTTTGAATTCGACTTCTTTCTTGGTGGTCCATAGCGGCTACCAAGAAGATTCACTAATTCTAATAATTTATAATGTAATTTTATTTTAGAAAAAAAATATTTTTATTAAAAAAATAACTTCATTAAATAGATGGTGGTGGGACAGGGATACCCAGATCTAACCCGAACCTATTTAAGACGAGTTTGAGTTTTAATTCTCAATCCCCAATAAAATTTGAGGCGGAAAACAAATATTATTTTAAAATTCAAGTTTGAATCCGTGAGAATTTTAAAAAAAATCTCAAACTCAACCCATTGTCATGCCTGTTCATCTAATTAGTTATTCTAACTAAATTTCATGTGTAAAAAAAAAACTTAACTGCTTTAACGAATCCTAATCAACTTCCTAAAAATAGTTATTCTACTTAATTTAGTTATCTCCAATAAGAAATCAAGTTAAGTTTTAGCAAGCAACCAAGCCAATCCTAAATATCCTAAACAAACCAGCAAGAAAAAAAAAATAGAATTACCACTAGAATATATTTCATGGTGAAAAAATTCACACCTAGAGACCAACTAACAAGCTCTAGCCATAAGATTCTCATCAGAAACACTTGTTTATTTTAAAAATTTTACATTTTCTTATTCACGAATTAAAATAAATATATTTAAAAAATAAAAATAAAAATAAGTTTAAGTGTAAACTAAAATAATGCCCCCTCTTTTCAGCGCGTAGATGTCGTGGTGTTCACAAGACACGAAATCCACATTTTAGTTTTCCATTTAAAGATAACGAAGGTGACTTACATTGACGACGACATTACTATAAACATCACACACCCTTCTCTTCTCTCTCTCTGGGTGCCACCAATCATTACTACAATTATCCAAAAATGAATCGGACAATTTTTTTTTTCTTTCTAACTTGCAAAAATTGTACCAGTGATATACTAAATGTTAATGAAATCTCTAAACGGCTAATGCATGAAAAACATGTTTCCACTTAACACCGTCCTCAATTCAACATATTTGACCTTTTTTTAGATTGTAAATCGAAACATTAATCCTATCCTTTATTAATTTTCATTCTTCCTAAATTATAAGTTGATTTGAAAAAGTTGTCTCAAATTACGATATCATTCAAACATTTTTTTTTCTATTACCAAAATAGGTTGTATCTAGAGTTAAAAGTTACTTTCTCTCTTATAAGTACGGACGGATGATTCATTTGAAATAAACAATATTTTAAAATAAATCATTTATTTTAATTTTATTATTTAATTAATATCTTTTTAATTTTAAATATATAATAAAAGTATTTTAGTAAAATATCATTCTCTCTTATTCATTTTTTTAATATGCAGGAAAAACTCAATTAGGTCACTCATTGCAGAACAGAGTGAATATTATTTTATTGTGTATGATTTTCTTTAAATTAATTATTTAAGTTAACTTTATATATATATATATATATATATATATATATATATATATATATATATATATATATATATATATATATATATATATATATATATATATATATATATATATATATATATATATAAAAGCAGACACATTTGTAGCTCCTTTACCGAGTGTCTGGTTCCATTTTACGAGTATCTGTTCACAAGAATATGATTGTGGTTGTTCTTTTTAAATTTGAGGTGGTAATCTTGAAATACTTGAAGGTTGCTCTCTTCTGGATTCATCGTTATGTGTCCTAGACTTATCTAATGGTATTCCAGTTATAGGTTAAACATAAGTCTTGGAAGTCTTCCTTCTGGATGTTCTTCGACTTGTTCTACGTCATGTGCACCTCTTAAAACTACGTCCCTGATCAAGAGCTTATTACATTTCACCTGAATGATCCTTCGTTCAACCCTTTCACCAACTACTAAGACAACTTTCTAAGGTGTTTCGTACTAGTGAAACCCCCACTTCTAATGTCTTGTGTTATGACCCGACTGAATCTTCTCGCTTATATAAGAGTATAGTCTTGAAGTATTGGTATTAACCTCACTTGTGTTCTACAATCAATTCTTACCGCCTCAAATTAAGTTCCCTCTTTGTTCAAGAGGTTACGATTAAAGATGATTTTCATTCCTTGTTTCAAAGACTTGGCTATTTAGAAGATTTTTACCCCAGTGAAGTGCGTTCTTCTATGCAAAAGAAGTAGTGAATTGATATTCATGTTATCATAAGTGTGATCAGTCGTATTGAGAGGAAATAGATCTTTGGTGAGGACGATATAATATAGTTTTTTGACATGTGTGATTGTATCTTCTAGGTAATATGGATCAATACCGTTTTTGTAGGTCGAGCAGTCACGCCTCCTCATACGATCTCTGGCCCTTCCTTTGCAGTCAAGGCTACTTCCCCCTGGGGTCGATCAACTTACATTTATGGTGATTACTCTATTTGTAGAAGATTTGCCACAATCTCTTGCTCCGTTGAAGAGAGTTCGAGATGAGGGCCAACATTACTTTTTTGAGAAAGGTTCTCCAAAATGGACCAGAGTGTCTCAGGATGCCGCTTCAGGGTTGGTCACTCCTTTCCTCCAACGACCTTCTATTCTTCCTTCTCATTTTCCTTACACTTCTAAAGAGGTTGCTTTTGTTGTGACTACGAAGGACCAATCCTTCGTATATAATTTATCTAAGGCAGAGAAGATTGAGCTCCTTTTTTAGGTCGCCTTTCAAACTTACTGGGTTGCTTCCTTGTTCTCCCTAGTCATTGTTGGAAGAAGGGACGTCATGGTTATAAGTTCCTTCAAAGGATATGGACATTTGGAAGGGAAAGTGTGAAACCTTGGAGCAGGAGCGTTATTCCTTCCAAAAGGAACTAACTGACTTGTAAGGGAAGATCTAGCTTGTAGAGGCTCTGCTAGAAGAGCCAAAGGTCCAAGGCTCCTATTCAACTCCGGCTGCCTGGATCCTTGAGTAGAAATTGTAATGCCCTTAACTTATTTAATTTTTTATATTTAATTAATGTATTTTATAAATTATTTAATAATTTATTTATGTGATGTTTGTGTGTTTTTAGGTTTTTTATGACGTTTTAGAGTATTCGAGGGTATTTTAATAATTTCATAATTATTAAAATATTTGGGTGAGAGTAGTATATTTTATTTAATTATTTAAAAGTAAAGATAATAATTATTTGAGGTTTATTATAATAATTATTTAATTATTTAATTTGATAAAGATATAATTTTTGTAATCTGTATGAACATGTAAATGAGTTGCTTCATAAAGTCCCGAGCTATTACTATAGTCTCGAATTGCTTCATATTTTTGTTTATTATTTTGCTTATATATTTTATTTTGGGTGAAGTAGTTTAATAGAATTCATAACCTTTTAAATGTGAACACATAAAATTTCACTAATTTGAATTCACACTCTTGCACCTGATACAATTATTAACTGAGCTTACTTAATCTAATTTATTTTACTTACATATTATTATTTAAAAATTATCCAACCACAATAATTTAAAAATTATCCAACCACAATAATTTTTAAAATAAAATGATGATTAATTAGATGATCGTACTTGACAGATAATAAAAATGAATTGTTTAAGAAAATTCAAATTCAAATCGATACTAATTTATCTTTCAATTATAGAGTTAAGATCTTACATGATATTTTGTTGGTTACTTAAGATCTTATGAAGTCATTAAATGATGATTGACCACCTTGATTTTTTTTCTTCCATATCTTAGTAGGTACATATGCCGCCGATAAATCTCATTGGTCCCACTAAAAGTATTTAAAAAGAACTCCGACCAAAACATTTGAAACAAAACAGAAGTTGGACCGTTTTAAAAAGATATTCAAATCTATATAATATGAAGGTCAAAAGGTTGGAAAACAAATATATGTTTTCATAGTCAAATGCCACGGATTCCATATAATACTCAATGCCCTTTCTTCTATAAATACCACCAACACTTTGCACTTTTCTTCCAATAACAAATTAAGGCAGACATTAACAACAAGCTTAAAATAGAGAGACACAAGGAGAGAGATATATAGAAGCTTAATACAATTATACAATATACATATATAGAAATGGAGTTTATATGGCTATGTGGCATTTTTGTTGCTATGTTAGCAACACTTTGCCTCTTGTTGCTCTTGATACTAACATTTTCTTGGTGGGTTTTCCCTATCCAAATCCACAAGAAGCTTATAAGAAATGGGTTTCAAGGGCCAACTCCAAGCTTTCCACTTGGAAACATTGAAGAGATGAAAAGAAAAAATATCATAAAATCTTCACTTGAATCCTCAAATCTCACACATGATATTCACTCGAAAGTTTTTCCATACTTTTCTTCATGGCAAAAATCACATGGTAAGTCTTCCCACTCAAATCTTTATATTACACCAAATGCATGCAAATATGTAGCCTATAAGCACGATATTGCATACTAATGTTATATATTTTGATCTACAAATTTGATCTTAATTATGATGATTTTTTTTCTTGTTATAGGTAAAGTATTTGTGTATTGGCTAGGGACGGAACCGTTTTTGTACATTGCAGATGCAGAATTCTTGAAGAAAATGTCAACAGAAGTGATGGCAAAGAGATGGGGAAAACCTAATGTTTTTAGAAATGATAGAGATCCAATGTTTGGAAGTGGTTTGGTTATGGTAGAGGGAAATGATTGGGTTCGTCATCGTCACATTGTTGCACCAGCATTCAATCCTCTTAACCTCAAGGTATATCTCTCTCAATATTTTTTTCTTGGGAAGTAGTATGGAATTTGTAGGAAAAATTGTCCACATTCAGCATTTTGAATGTACAAGAAGAAAAATTTGAACTTGGTTGAATATTCAACCTTTTTACTCTTTCCATTACCAACCCATTAAGTAAGTAATAAGTAATCGCACATTATCAATAGGAAATTAATAATATATATAAGTAATGCTCCACCAAACAAATTGATAAAAAATAATTAATATTTTTAAAGAAGTTTTGATCAATTTTATAGATTTTAAAAAATGGGAATTCGAAAATAATTAAAAATTGTTTAAGAGAATCTGTTTTGAACAACCTTCTTTAAAAATGTTATGATTTTCATCACAAAATAACATTTATTTTAAAAATATATATAAATTATTGTTTTTTTTTACAAATCTAGATTATTAAATTTTTTTTTTGTATAAAATGTAATAATACATGGCTCTCAATTCCTTTGTTAGTCAAAATTTATAGTTTTTTCTTTGGCCACAAGCAAATTCTAATTAATTTTGCATTATATTTTGTTTAATGTGATATAGGTGATGGCAAACATGATGATTGACTCCACAAATCAAATGATAAATAAATGGACTAACCAAATAAACTTTGGCAACCTTGAAATTGATGTGGAGAAAGAAATCATAACAATAGCTGGAGAGATTATAGCAAAAACAAGTTTTGGTGTGGAAGATGAAAATGCTAAAGAGGTTTTTACCAAATTAAGAGCCTTACAAATGACTCTCTTTAACACCACTCGATATGTAGGTGTTCCCTTTGGCAAGTTTTTTAATGTAAAAAAAGACATGGAGGCTAAGAAACTTGGCAAAGAAATAGACAAACTCTTATTGTCAATTGTAGAAGCTAGGAAAAGTTCAACTAAAATGAATTCTCAAAAGGATTTATTAGGGTTATTGCTACAAGAAAATAATCATGTTGACCGATTGGGGAAGACATTAACATCAAGAGAAGTGGTTGATGAATGCAAAACTTTCTTTTTTGGTGGACATGAAACAACAGCACTTGCTATCACATGGACTTTGTTGCTTCTAGCCATGCATGAAGATTGGCAGAATCAATTAAGAGAAGAGATTAAAGAAGTGGTGGGAAATAATGAGATTGATATCACTATGCTTGCTGGTTTAAAAAAGGTAATTAAGTTGTTGATAAATAGTTTGTAATTTTTTGCCATCGATTTTTTTTCTATAAATAAGTTATAATAACTATTAGAAACTAACACAGCATCAAAATTTGAACTCTGATGACTTAACCTAATAATAGTTATTTCTGCCGATTGAACAAATATTTGCAAACTTTTTAAAAAATGCTTTTTGTGATATCATTTACTACCAGCAAGCATGTGAGTTTTTTAAAAATACAATATTTCATTTAAACTGAGGCGGCAGCTATTGTAACAGTGCCATGGTACGTGTTTTGGAACTTAGTACAAGATTGACTTTCCTCAATATCTTTCTTGCTTTTCATTCATTTTCTAACTTAATTAAATAGAGCACACAACGCATATATAATTAAATATGAATAGGATAGGCTTAACATGTATACATGTCAAAAGTTTTACAAAAGATGTTTGGATTTGATTTGGATTAATTGAAAATTTAAGTTTGTTGAATTTTTTTGAATGTGTATGAGCTTATATATATGTGTGTGCTATTCCAATATGCAGATGAAGTGGGTGATGAATGAAGTTCTAAGACTATACCCACCAGCACCAAATGTGCAGAGACAAGCAAGAGAAGACATTCGAGTTGATGATGTAACAGTGCCTAACGGAACAAACATGTGGATCGATGTTGTAGCGATGCACCACGATCTTGAATTATGGGGAGAAGATGTGAATGAGTTCAAACCAGAGAGGTTCATGGATGATGTGAATGGTGGATGCAAACACAAAATGGGGTATTTGCCATTCGGATTTGGAGGGAGAATGTGTGTGGGTAGAAACTTGACATTTATGGAGTACAAGATAGTATTAACAATACTTCTCTCTAGTTTTACTTTTAAGGTTTCTCCAAGTTACCAACATTCGCCAGCCATCATGCTCTCTCTTAGGCCTACTCATGGACTTCCACTCATTGTTGAACCCCTTAATTAGGATGTGCTATATATTCAACTGAACTTTATAAAAGGGAAGGACTCAGTCAAATATTGAATCCTAGAGGTACAGTTTAGATGAGTCTAGTTTTGGTTATTGAGAAGCCAATTTTTTAGCAACAATCCCTTTGCTTCTCTAGTACATGTATGCTGGAAAGTACTTTAGTAAGATCCATGATTTTTTCCTATTCGCATTCAATGACTTTGATAGATCTGTAAATAGTATCATTTTCTATGATACCTTATTTGTTTAATATCTCATCTGTAAAAAAAATCTCTACAATAAAGAGTATTCTTCCTTACCAAAAAGTACTTAATATAACCTTCAATTTTTAAAATAATAGATAAATAGTATTAAAAAAATCTAAGAAATGGAGACTTGAAAAAGAACAGAAGGGATATGCATATGTAGATTTTGTATTAATATTGTCCTTACTACTGGTATGCAGTATATACAATATTGTCCTTACTACTGGTATGCAGTATGCAAAGGATATGGTAGGAATTAAAATTCCAATCACTACTAGTATGCTGTATGCAAAGGATATAGTAGGAATTAAAAATCCAATTAGCAGTTCCCAAAAATGATCCCAACAGATGCTGGATTCTTAACTAAAAACATTGAATATCAAGAACTATCATGAGAAAAGGAAATAATGAAATCCAAGTTAATTCTTCTTATTATATCGATGTCAAATGGGATGGCAATCCCTAGATGCTGTTATACCAGAAACTCCAACAAAGTCATGATTCGATACTGGAATGCCATCCCACAACAAATTGTTTCACAGATGCAAGACCTTAGAAAAGAGGCAAGGTAGGGGGGAAACGCACAAGCATCCATTGTCTCTCATATGTAGTTAAATGAGTCCATCCAATTTCTTCAAGCAGCGAGAGCTTTAGTTCATACAGTTTCTTCTTGGCAGGCTCTGTGTCATCTTGAATTATGTCAGTTAGTACCTGCATCCAGTTGAAAAACAAGGTTCTAATAAGATTAGTATCACCATTTATTTAAGCAACCATTTCTCAATACTCTTTGATCATCAAAATAGAAAAACACTTTCAGAAACAAGAAAAAGAATAGAGCTGCTTCATATAAGTGGTGGAAAAGTGACACATTGGAGAAGTACATAAGACGGTTAAATAGCTAGAGTTTTAGCAGATATACTGGTTCAGAATTATTATTATTATTATTATGATAGTGTTGAACTCTAATTAGAACTAATCCACGTTCTCTTTTCTTCCTCCAACTTTTTCATTTTGATTAAAAAGTTCTGAGTACAGTTTTTCAGGATTTGCTTCCTAGACTCTGTTATTTTTGCACAACACTATTCTTTTAAAATGGTTTTTAATTTTTTTTCTAGAAAACTAGAGAATCCTAAACCATTCAGGTTACTCCCTATTGCTATTCCAGTGGCTTTGTAAATTGGCTAGAGAAATCTCTAGACTCAAATATATACAAAAACGCTCATAGTAGGTGGACCAAAATATAAATAACTTCTAATATTTAATGCTATAATTCTCAAAATATCTTTCGATAAAACAAGTTTTCATGCAAAATTCAATGAAAGAAATAGTGGTCTAAGAAATACAATTGTTTTTTATTACATCAAGAAATTAAATAAGGTTAATCACTATTCTTACTCTGTGCAATTGATTTGTTTTGCTTGGAATTGAGTTAGGAGGGAGTATATTGAGTTTGGAGGGAGTATATGATGAAGGGAGAAAGGAAAAAAAGATTCTGTTACATAACAAGACTTTGCAGAGAAAAATACCTTCAATGCTGTCCCAAGCCTTTGACTGCGCCTCTCGTGTGTCACCAACAGGATCCCATACTTTCTGCACTTAACATCAACCCACTTCTTCAGTTCCTTAAAGTTCTCATCAAACGAATCTGTATAAACGCCATTGTCCTTCGGTTGTTTGTCAGGTTTTGCACTTTCTGTTGCAGCCAACGCTAGGGAATTTTCTACTTCCTTTAACAATTTACAGGTCAAGCTGTTAGCTTTCATTTGAAAACCAATAAATGTCACTAATATCATTGTGAAAAGCTTTTAATTGTTTTAACACAGTAATACCATAACACCCAGATACTCTTCTGAATTCTACATAGCACAAGCAGGCAAAATCATGAAAACTGAAGTTAGACTAAGATATGATCTAATGTGATTTCAAACTCATGAAGATTAATATCTATTAATGTCTATGGTTTGTTTTCGAGAGAGGGAAAAAATTTGCCTCAGCATACAGGGATATTTCCTAAATTTGGAGTTACAAACATGTAACAACAACTAATATTTTACAATATCATACTGTTGAAATTTCCGCCTTCGTTGCGGTCCGCCCCTAGTCGCCTTAATTGCAGCATTTGGCTTGCCTTCATTTCAGGCTCCAACACCTTCACTATGTTGGATTTGAAAGGGTGAATTTAGTCTCACATTGCTTAGAGATATGGCATATTTTGTATTTATAAGTAGGGACAATCCTCACCCTACAAGCCGGTTTAGTACGGATGAGTTAGACCCAACCCAAATTCTAAGATGATATTAGAACCTATCTTAGATCACTTGTGGGGCTACCCGCATCGTTCACGCTTTGGCCTGAGCGTGAGGGGGGTGTTGGATTTTCCGCCTTCATTGTGGTCTTCCCCTAGTCGCCTTAATTGTGGCATTTGGCTTGCCTTCATTGCAACCTCCAACACCTTCACTATGTTGGGTTTGAAGAGGTGAATATAATCCCACATTGCTTAGAGATATGGCATATATTGTGTTCATAAGTGGGGGCAATCCTCACCCTACAAGCCGGTTTTGTAGGGATGAGTTAGGCCTAACCCTAATTCTAAGACATACATTGATTTGAATAATATATAAAAGTTCTAACCTTTAAAGACTCTATTTCTGCCAGTGCAAGGCCTTTTTGGTAAAGTGCCTCTGCTAATTGATCCCGGGTTGATTCCAGGTTTTTCTTGGTTTTCTGTTGTGAGATTAAAATATCATCAATTGCCAACAAAATGCAAACTGAAAAACCATTGTGTAAGTATTAAATGCCGTACCGAATTTTTTTTTTCCAAGCAGAATGACGTTGCATAATAAATTTAGCCAAACAACTATTGTTCGAACATCTTACACATTTTTGGTGTATAAAAATGTTTAAAGTATCATGTCATTGTTTTCAGAGAAACTGTTGCATGACAATCTTCTATACTGTAATTATAATAAGTCATGAACCAAAAGTCATAGTTGCAAAATCTTCTGAACGAATATCACTCACTCAAATGCGGAGTCAATTTATGCATTAGAATCCTCGAGTTATAAAATTAACTGCAGATAATCTGAACCATAAAGTATTGTATTTTAAACAATTAAATAAAAAACATATATATAGTAACACATATTCTAACCATTGATTTAACTCCATGGGCGTGCAACTACATAAGATCTGTTTCCTGATTTTAATTTTTCTTCTTTAAATTTGTATAAATAGATAACTAATGCAGAAGAAAGTGGCATGGATAACTAAAAGAACAGGAAAAGGAGATAAGCACCTCTGCTTCCTCATCGTCCGAATCATTTTTCAGTGCAAAAGATTTTGCCAACTCTTCTCTATCAATACTGCCAATCACCTCATTTGCAGCGTTAACTATCTGCAAGGCATATTCATAATTGTCTCAGAATCAGTGTTTTTTACATCATTCAGACGTTACTAAATTTAACTATTTTATCAACACTGATTTTATCAAAATCCAATCAGAAGATTGAATGTTCAAACTAGTGAATTTCAGAAAAATTAAAAGTTTACTTGAACTTCTTTTGTAACAGCTAGGATGGTAGTATTTCACATTTCATTAACGAACAAAATGCTTTCAAAATATAAATGTCAACTATTAAAGAAGATACTAATGAACATTCACTTCTAAATTTTTAATTATGCGAAAAAGATAAACAGCAGTATAAAAATGCAAGATTTACACTCTTGGGAGTTACTAGATCCCCACTCTCCGTGTTCACATGTTTCATGATACATTAACATAAATATTGTCTCGTATATACACATTAGATAACTTTTATGGAAATACACTTTTCAAGAACCCAACGATGGATCAAGAGTTCAGATCATGCTCTCAAAATTTAATATTCATTAGGCATGTGAAGGGAAATAATATCATATTGAAAAATGATGTTAAAAATAGGAGTTAGGAAAGAAAACTAGAGACCGAGAGAAGGGGAATAATATCAAACATTTTATTACAGCAGTGTGTACCTCTTTATTATGATTGAATTTGTCTTTGTTATTTTTCCTTGAAACCAAGCCTTCCAAAATCTTTGCAAGCAACGGAGTGTACTTTGGATATTCCGACTACAAGGAAGTATAATAGATTTTGCTGTTATTAAGTTTTTATCTAGAATACACAGAATATACAGTTGACTGAAGTTTGAATACGATTCAAATAAAATAGCAATTAAAAATATTGAAAAAGAAATGCAAAATCAATATAATTTTTAAGAGTACTGAAACAAATAAATGGTGATTCAAACACTAAAACTAGGAGTTCAGGTCAAATTATATACTCTGAGCAAGGCAGATAACTTGCTCCATTCTAAGCGATCTTCATCACTTTCTTGTTCTATGCCTTCAAGCACTTTTACTTTTGCATCTCGTACCTGATAGACAAGTCAAAGCTAACTTAAGATATCATTAGGACAAAAGATATATAATCTGAAACCTACAGTATATAATCTCCATTGACACAATTAAGAACTGTAAGTGAATGTTTTTGTATATGGAAAGAGATGGAAAAGAAAAACAAAATTACAATCCTCAACAGTAACACTGGATAATCTGCAGTGTGTGTTGTGTGTGCGTGAACTGTTTGGACATATAACAAAAATGTACACATCTTCCACGCATGATAGGCAAGGTTTATCTAACTATTCTTTAATTAAAAAGAATCTTAAGAAATGTGCTTGAGCCTAACTCATCCCTACAAAACCGGCTTGTAAG